TTTTTAAAAACGCTTTTTCGAATCCTCAAATCGTTTCTTCTTGGTAGTTTTTGTACTTATCCGTATGAGTCATGCATACTTCGCGATGTAATAATTATTTAGGACAACAGCGAAGAATAATTGACAAAAAACTATACGGACGTCCGCACGAACAATCTTGTAAAGGCGTGTCCTCACGAGTCGATTTAGTTGATCAAAAGAGAGTTAAATAATTTTTTTTTATGCGAACATGTCTTTCAATAGATTTGATCAACTTTTTAGTTTAGTTTTTTATGCGATTCTGAACTTTTGAGAGCAGTTCTTCGAATTTCTCTTCAAACATTCGTAAATTATTCCTATACCCTTCTTTATTCTCTAGAGCAACCATACTCAACCTTTCTTTTCTTCGGGACACATTCGTATATGTACTATGTTATACGGGCCGCATTATTTTTGAATGATGACCCTTTTTTTAGGACATCTATCTAAAATTAGTTAGTGGGGACCTCTAATAAATAAAACACAAAACATAAATATATCCCGTTGTGTTACTGCAAAAACAAGATAAATCACATTTTTAGAGTTTCGATAAAATACTATTCAAACGTTTAAAACTAATAATCTATCAATAATTGGTAAAAAAGAGAGAAAAAACGCCACTTAGCTTATTTTAGCGCTACGTAGAAATCACAATTCAATGTATGTGTCACTATCGTCAGTCGACGTTTCAGTAACATTATTGGATACAGGTAGATTATGATAATAATGGTGAAATTCATTAGGTGTATCTGATTTTGCAAAATTTTAGTAAATCTTTCTTCTTGCACTTTTTTGTAAGTATTTTCAAAACTTTGTTTCATCCTTTCATGCATCCCTCTGAATAAATACTGTGCGAGTAGTGATGCCGCGAGACAAGACGAGACGAGAGAGAGAGAGAGAGAGAGAGAGGCCTCTCTCGTCTCGTCTCGTAGGGCGAGAGAAAACTGTTCTCTCGTCTCGACGCGATGGCGCTTCTCTTGCTCGAGAGAGCCATTCTCTCGTCTCATCTCGTTTCTCTCGTGATAAAAACATTTAAATTTGGAAGAGATATACTTAGGACGAAATATAAAAAAACTGTAAAATTTTGAAGATAATAACAAATAATTTTTCAAGTAATTTGTCTTATCAGTACCCAAATTGGCAATAAGAAACACTTAGGGAAATTACCTTGGTATCTCTCTGCCTGTCCGTCTGTCACAGTCATTTTATTTAGACACTATTCGACATAAACAATTGAAATTTAAAGTAATCAGTGGCCAACATTGGGCGTTAACTAAGAATGTTTAGCAGAGGAAGAAGTTGGAAAGGCTTTCGGTAGGTGGAGAAGGGGTAAACGTCAAACCACGTCGAACGAGAATTTTGCAGTAATGTTTTCCTGCCAGTGTCGTTTCATAGAATAAGAACTGGACAATCGCATTTATTTATGGACTATAAATAATTATTAAACATGTATTATAATACCCAAATCATAATTCTACAAAATTTCAATAGCTATCACAATTTATTAAACTATTTACTCGAAATTGTTATTAACATCTAAAAAATAATTTTCTACGCCAATGTATCGCGTCCACTTCGGTTAGATCCGCCGCAAACCGTCAAGTTATGTGTATGAAGTGGGAGAACTAGCAAAAGCCTTTCCAACTTCTGCCCCTGCTATAAATACTTTGTCTTAGAAGTCAGTTGGGAGGGGGTAAGGTTTCATTTGGAAGTTAGAATTTTTTTCGTGTGATATCAAATGAAAGCAATTTGAAGCATGTTAATAATATATTATACGATCGTTTCTTTTATTTTTTCTTTGACAGTTTTTCGAAAAAACACTTAACAATTATTGTCTTTCTAATTTATCTCCAAAAGTAACCTCCGAAAAATTTGACTGCATGGAAATTATTACGATTCTGTCCGTTGGTTAGTTTTTTATACAAAGAAATTTCGGATGGCGCTTTTGTCTTGGGCGCTTTTGTCGGGAAGCGCATTTGTCGGGGCGCTTTTGTCGGAGCGCTTTTTTCGGGGCGCATTTGACGGGTCACCATAAATAAAAATCATGCAAGCCGTTTCCAAAATAATTAAGGCGTTCCATACTTAAAACTCGCTGTGTATATAGAATAGGTGTTTTATAGTTAACTTTTTGACTATCTGGAAATATGATATTTTTAAATTTTAAGTTACGATAAGTAATTGAACATTTTAAAAAGGTAAAAAGTTAATTGCGCGAGAGAACTCGAGAAAGCTCGAGAGAAACGAGAAATTCTCGTCGAGAGATGACACTCTCTCGTCTCGTCTCGAATCTTTTTTCGAGAGAAAATGTCTCTCTCGTCTCGTACGAGACGAGACGAGAGACGAGAATGTCTCGTCTCGCGGCATCACTATGTGCGAGTTTGACATATAAAGCTGAATTCACCACGCTCGCCCATTGATAAATTAAATCTATTTTTCTGGTAGAATGTATTTAGGATAGCTAAATCTTTCGATACGTTGTCTATTAAAAAGTATTGTTAAAATTAATAATCGCCTGTTACCACTAATACTTTTATTTACCAATTAACACCAAAAGATTTGCTCGTTACGGCTTGACCAATCACTCGTTACAGCTTGACCAATCACCCGTTACATCTTGACCAATCACTCGTTCACCACGGATGGTGCGCTGTGGATCATTTCTTAATTGCTGCTTCATCTTGTGCCATACAGTTTCGATTATATTTAGATCAGGGCTGCTGGAGGGCCAGTCAAGGACGGAAATATTGTTGTCTTGCAGCCACTTTCTTGTGGTATTGGATGTATAGCAGGAGGCGCCATCTTGTTGAAAAGTAAAGTTTCCATCAGGTGATAAAATTGGAATTGACACTAATAAATTGGTTTCACGAATGTTCTGATATTTTTCTGCGTTTACAATTCCGTCTATAAAGTGCAGTTTTCCAACACTGAAACCAGACATGCTTCCCCATACCATAACACCTGATGGAAATTTTATTTTTCTCTTTAGGCAGTCTTTGTGAAAGGCTTCAATTTGTTTCTTTTAACACGTGATCGATGGTCACCCACGCAAACATCAAATTTTGATTCATCGCTAAAAATGATTCTTTTCCAGTCTTCAAAAGTCCACATTGCCCATTCCTTTGCCCACGCTAATCGTCTTTTCTTTTGTTTTTCCGTCAGCAACGGCTTTTCTTTTGCCTAAACCAATGATTTCACTGTAAAATATGAGATTTTCGTTAAACGTAACTTACGTATCTTATAAAAATGTAAACCAGACTTATGGATCCAGCGACGACACGTTTCTCGTGAAACATTTCAAAATATTTCTTCATTCCATTTTGCTGTTATTTCCCTTACAGTACTTCGGCGATCAGTTTTACAAATCCGAACAAGAGATCTTTGCATTCGGGAAGTGACTTTGCGTGGCCGACCAGCACCATGTCTTGAAATTTGAGTTGAACCCGTTTCTCCATATTTTTTCACAATATCTGACACCGTGGACTTTCCGACATTTATTTGTTTAGCAATATCCCGAAAGATTTTTCCTTGGTTAAACAGTTTTACTATTAATTCTCTAATTGCACCATTTGTTGCTTTACCACGCGACATTTTAGAGCCAATTGATAATCGAATTCTCAAGTTAAAATGTCAAAATAGAAATTTTTTTTTTGTTTCCATGGTTTGCTATTATTTGTTTTACTAACGTGTCCGAACATTTATGTGTCAGCAAATATTTCATTTTTATCAACATTAGTTTAGTTTTAATAATCAATATTAGTTTATTTGAAAACAATTTCATAAATATGATGTAAACAATACATATTATGTCTTATAAATGAAAAACATATGATATTGAATCTCTTAAGGAAATTTTCAAACTTTTTCGCAAAATCAGTTGTCAGATGTCCGAAAATACCCAAAGTGAAGCTATCTTGTTTTGCAGTAACCACACAAAATTCAAAACGTTTATTTAAAAATTAGCATGCTATTTAGCGCGGCGACCAATAATAGTGTTGCGGGCCACAAAAAAAGCTTGGAGGGCCGCATGCGGCCCGCGGGCCGCAGGTTGAGTATGGCTGCTCTATAGCCTACTCCCTTAGCAAAGTTTCTGATGTTTCGCCAATTTATTTGTTCTCAGAATCCACTGCCTCATTCAAAAACGATGTTTCTTACGAATTTTGTTCACATCGAAAATTCTTTTTTTGCATTCGACGCCATTTTATATTGACACTGATAATTCAGTTGACCAGTGAAAACGCGACTTTAGAGTTTAGCATAGAAATGTAAACGATTCAATTTTAGTTGATCAATTAAAATCGACTCGTGAGAACTCGCCTTTACACTGAAAGGTGTGAACAAAAATCTGATTCAATTTTAATGCAACTTTTATTGATCAACTAAAATCGGCTTAACTTGACTCGTGAGAACGCGCCTTTAAAAGTAAATATGAATCTACATTAATTCGTTGAATTCACAATAAAATGACAATTGTGGTAGGATTTCGTGATAGTTAAAATGTTTTCTCAATATTTATATTATGGATGCAATAACAAACTATACAGTGACGGCCACTGAACGTTTTCAAATAAGCTTTACACAAGTCCATGTGAAAACTAGAGAGAATTAGTCAAGCAGGAAACGAATAATATCAGCGTTGCCAGTTTATACGGCCCGACCGCGTATGTACTAACTATGCTGATATTATTCGTTTCCTGCTCGTGTTAATGCTAACTCTCTGTAGTTTTCACATGCACTTGTGCAAAACGTATTGGAAAGCGTTCGATAGCCGATACTGTATAGTATGATATTATTAACGTATACGCCCCGATATCAGTAGCTGTTTATAATCTCGGGCGACTTACAAACTCACATCAGCTTTGTGCGATAGTTGCCTTAGGCATAATCATCTACATAGTATCGTTGATACGTAAATAACTATTCCCATTGGCTTACATAGTTTACACAAAGTTTTACATCCTCTATTTTATTAATTTGTTTTTTAGACATCCAAAAATTTTAAAATTGGTTTAGCCTACAAATCACCATTTTTCAGTATAATTCGTCCAGGATCAGATTATGATTTTCTCAAAATTGCACCTGGAATTGCTTACGTAATAAACATTATTTTTACACCGACAGAAATGCGAGACTACGTAGCCAAATTAATTTGTGAGACAAACGAAGAAACTATGACAATTCCCATTTATGGTATGTTAATTCAGTGATTTATATATTTTTCTACACTTTATTTCTTCCTTGTCTAATAGTTTTTCTTGATAATTTGCCTTATTTGTCAATACGATATAAATATTAGTGATGTACAATATTTTTTGTACGATCACAAAATAATTTCATCAAAAAATTTAAAACCAGGAAATCTAGCTATGGCGGTTCAGTCAAGATGTGGATGGTTCTAGATTTATATTTATATGTCTCATTGAATAATTTTTATAGTGTTTTACGGATACTGTTTTGTAGAAATTAAAAACATTGTGATTTTATTAACAAATACGTTCATAGAATGACAAGGGTAAAATAATATTATGTACAACATATTTTAGAATTCAATAATCTTCTCAATAGTACATTTTCTTAAATGCAACAAATAAACAACTATGAACAAAAACCTTTTTTATTATTAAAGATGATAGGTACCTACTTACATTTGTTTTCTGAAAGTATCAAAATAATACAAAATAATGTAACGATTCTTTATTTAAAAATAGATTAATTTAAAACAGTTTATTTATAATTTATTTTCACAACGTACTAATTAATTTATTTATACCTAAGCACTATTTATATTTGACAACATTTATATTTAAACTTCTGTATTTGTATTCAACTCAACTACTAAACAATGTCGCGCTATTTATATAAAGCCAGCCCTGCTCGAGGAGCTTCTTGGTGCCAGTTTAGAAGCTTTGGAAATCTTCCTCTATGAGTCAGCCGGCACGCAAAATGCCTTCAGTAACATCTCAAAAGGAGCCCGTTTATTTCTCACGTCCAGCTGAATAGAAACACAGACGATAGCTTGTACGGTTAGAAGATCAGGGTCGGACAGGCCTTCGCACGATATTGGCTCGTCCTTAAGAGATATTTCCTCCTGGAACGGAGTCAGAATGGTTGTATCTGCAACTGGATTCTCTTTTACAATTTCCATTCGCATGAAAATAACAAGGAACGGACAAGGTCAGGTGTTTCTTGGAGGTGTTTTACTTCTTTTTTCTCGACATGGTCACCCTAAAATGGCGTCAGCCGGTTTTGTTGCACTACCTTCGATTTACCTTTCGGGATCTTGCTTGTACAGTAAATTACTTCATATATTTTTTTATTGAGGTACGATCTTCTAAAGATCTCTGGAGCTTTTGAGAATAACCCATCTGTATTTTTCGGTTATGGAGCCAGACTTGGTTGGCTTTCTTAAAATAGCCTTCTGTTGCTTGGGTATCGTACCGTTTCTTTATCCATATCGTTTGTTATTTGAAGATGCCAATGAACCAACTCATGCATATCGTCCTTTTTCTTCATAACTGGGTCACATATTCTTCACCAGCTATGTCTTCTCCATTGCGAAGAGCGAAAGATACTTATCCTAATCTCGCTGATGATGGCTGGAAACTACTTTTGAAAGATATTTGCCAATGGTCTTATTAATTCGCTCCACCATTCCATCCAATTGTGTGTGCAATGCCGAAGTTCTGGTTTTCTTCATCCATAGTCTTCACAGATCACTCGGAAAATCTGGCTTTAAAAATTTCTGCATTGGTCATTGTGCATCTCCAAGGACACTCCAAATCGACTGATAAATTCATTTATTATCACGCCTGCAACAATTCCGGCCTCTTGATTTGGAATGGCGTAGACTTCACCCATTTCGTGATATATTCCATAACCCCCATCATGTATTTATTACCATCCTCTGTCATGGGGCATTCCAGCAATATCTTAGGCCTCTCAAATGGCCTAACGACATTGTATTGTTTCATGCGAGCCTTCCTTTTCCGTTCCTTTTCCGTTGAGGTCAATTACTCATTTCACAGGTAGTACATTTTTTGCACCAGTCCTTTACATCTTTGGAACTGTTTATCCAATAAAACTCTTTAGGAACTCTCTAAAGGAGTTTCTTAATACCGAAATGACCTTCCAATAGACTGTCGTGTAAATGAGAAAGTACTTCGGCTACTCCAGTCTTTGGAATGACCAACTGTTTCCTGTTTTCGGAACCATCATCATTTTCGAGTACGCGGATTAATAAGCTTTCTTTCAGGATAAAAGAGTCCCACTGAGCCAAATATGACTTTTTTTTTGTTTTTTTTGGCATAGGTATATCGCCATTCAGCCAGACACTAACAAATATGACTTAAATACTGGAAAGAGAATTTATACTTCTTGCCAAGTAGGTCGACGATTTTTCTCTATTCTTTAAAACGAGATCGTTCTCTTGTTCTTCCTACATTTTGATAGGGGCCCACTCATCATTGTTCTCAGTAGCCCATTTTCATTGCGTTCTGCTTTGTTGCAGTGAGATCACTCTGCTGGTTACGGTCTTTTAAAAAGAGGATCGGCATTTCTATAGCTTATTCCAACTTCGATCTTAAAGTCGTACTCTTGAAGTTGTTCAATCCATCTGGCGATTTGACCCTCGGGGTTTTTAAACTGCATCAGCCACTTATGATCGGTACGGATTAAGCATTTCCTTCCATATATGTTTTGGGAGAAGTGTTCCATGCGTTTCACAACTGCCATGCGTTTTCTTCTATCTAATTTTATTGTAACATCTTTTGGCATTCGACGAATATACACAAGTAGCTACTCATCTTATAAAAGAAGATACTATTTGGTCTTTATTTATATTCGTGTAATGCTAAAAGACATTTATATTTTAATAATTTTACTAAGAAGGCCATAAAAAGTACAACTAGTGACAAAAGAAGCATTTCAACAGTTTAACACCTATAGTATTTCAAAAGCCTATTACAGTTGAAAGCTGAAAATTTGGGAAATTGTGTTCTACTGAAAGAAATATGTAGATATACCTTTATCAATTAGTCACCTTGTATAAAATACCGCTAATCTCATTAACGCTAATGAAAAACAAATATTGTCCAGCGTTTACATTTACTCATCATATCGCACGTATGTAACGTATTTTTTTATGATTTAAGCAATAAATTTAGTAATATTTTTTTTGTATATATTTTCATCTCCTAGGCAATAAAAGACAATAATAAAAACATGTCGTTCGATGGAGAATCTATTAATTTATTTAGTAAATCATCCTGTAGTTATTGAAATGGACAGTTATACGTATGTTAATAGTAATAGTACCTAAAAATCATATTGGCCTTCATCAATATTTACTAATCACCCTGCATATATGGTACCTAAAATATTTTGATTTATCATTCAAAATGGTAAATATAGCAATAATTTAATTTTTAGTAAATATATTCATCTTCTAGAACAATAAAAGTAATTATCAAAAAAATCTACTTATTTGTGGTTCACCATGTAAAGGAAAATAATTTTTGACCCCTTTTTACCCCTTTTTATATTCGTAGAATGTCAAAAGATGTTACAATTAGATTTGGCACAAAAAATTATAATCGATTAGCTTTCTCCTTAAATAATATTTATCAAAAAATCTGATGTGTCCAACACATGACTCTCCTATCTAGTTATTATAGGGCTTTTTCGGTTATTTTGTACAACCTATTGCAGCACCTCTATAAATGTTTAGAGGATAAACTAAATAGGGTCAAGTGGTGTAAAAATGAGACATGACATATTTTGGGTAAAAATGAGACAGTCGATTCTTTACAGCTAAAAATAATTTGAATAAGATGCAGACAAGAAGTAATAAAGTCTACATATTGTAGATCCCAATTGCATATTTATTCAAACAACAATATTAATCTATACAAAAATAATTTAATACAACTCAATAAGTCGAATTTTTATGACCAAAACTTTTAAAATTGCCGCACAAACTCTGTTGCCACGCCGGTGGTAATTCATCGGGCACGCCCGATCACGGTCGCAGTTTGAAGAACTGCAACGTCAAAAATTTATGACATTTAACAGGTCCTTTCCATAAACGGTGTGCGGGGTCTTTTATATAAGTATATTTATTACTAGAATATATATCTGAGTGTCAGAGACATATTTTATAGGACTTTTCAATTTGGACCTATCTTAAAAAATAAATAAATATGTATATTTAAATATAAATAAAATATTGGAAAAAATATTTTCTGACTACCTCGCAATAACCAGTGGAAGAGGACCGAAAACAAAAACATAACTGTAACAAAATGTAATCCGCTTGATGGAAACAAGAGTGTTGGGTTTGTTTTTTTGTTTTTTAAGTTCCAGAAAACACAAACAAAACAGCTTTGTGAAAGATATCCCGAGGGCTATGCTAGCTCGGAATAGTTTACACAATGGTCCCTCCAGTACTTCCCTGCCCTTTTGTAGAAGTGCCGGTTTACACTATCAGGTCCAGTTGTCTTGTATGGTTGAAAGAAATTTAATGCCAACACAAGTTTTGTTCTGTTTACTATTGAGTTTGCAAGAGATCAGTTTGTTTTTGAGGTCCGGAATTAGTGCCTCGATACTCCTGTTCTCTTGGTCAAGAATATTCTCACATCCAGGATACTAAATCTGAATCTGTGTTTGTGAGTTCTCCTTGTTCATTTTTCAGAAATTCAATGCATCCTTGTAGAGTTTTCCTGAGTATGGAACATTCTGAAAGGCTTTCAATGCCGTCATAGAACTTCTTTCAGGAAATTTATTTGGCTTTCCTAATGGCATGACCATATTCTCTCCGGTACGCCTTATAGGCTTCCCAGTTTCTTGAGATTTTGGACAGGTCAAAGAGTTTATGAACTTCTGCTCTTTTTTTGGAAAGGCCTCTACAGCATCCCGATCCTCTTTCTTTATTTTTATAGAGCATTTTTTTTCAAATGAGTTGGTTAAGGTTTGTGTCGGAAACTCTGACATAAACTTAACTTTCACTGAATTCTTGGGTGTTAGAGGACAGTCCTTCAGTCCCTGCTTAAGTTCCTCCTTGAAGGCCCCCCAGTTACATATTCTAGGATTACGATATATTTTCTCACCCGAGGTTTCTGTACCCAAATTGAACAGGATATGCCTATGACCGAAAAAAGACGCTTCTTTTGAGACGTGCCATTTCCCCACTAATG